GGGGTGGGATGGGATGGGATGGGATGGGATGGGATGGGCTGGGATGGGATGGGATGGGGTGGGATGGGATGGAGCTCCCTGGGCTCACCCGCTGCCGCAGCGTCTCCGTCTCCTCCTGGTACGCCGTGAGCTGCTTCTTCCACTGGTCCACGTTGGCGTTGGCCTCGTGCAGAGCAGCCACCAGCTTGTTGTTGTTGTCCTGGAGGCTGAAGAACTCGGCCTCCCACTGCACCTCACTCACAGAGCTGCGGGAGAGAGCAGGGGGTGAGCCCAGGACAGCAGGGGAGGCTCCTTCACACACACACCCCCCCGTGCCCAAAGGATGCTCCTGGAAGTGCTCAGAGGCTCCACAGGTTCCCACTCAGCCCTCACATCACTTCCCGAATTTAAGCTCTCCTTCCAGCCCTGAACCTGCCCCTCTTCCCTTTGTCCCTGGGTGATATTTGACTTTGAAACTGCAGAGACCACACTGCGAGATTAACGGGGTGGGGGAGATGCAGGTGCCACAAAAGGGGCTTTGCAGTGTGAGATTGTGAATCCACTTTAAAAATCCTTATTGGATCTGAAGTTTTTGCTTTGAATAAAGCCCTACCAGCCCAGACTCGGGGAGAAGGCAGCAAAGGAGACTTGCTTTTGATTTAAAAATACTCTTTAAGTGTTCAGCTGGGAGCTTGACAGGAGCCACGGGCAGAATCCAGCCCAAAGCCTTTTGAACAGACAAAGAGAGGAAGCAGCAGGGACTTTGCTGGAATCATCAGGGGAGTTAACACAAATGTAGCCCTGGGCCAGCTGGAGAAGTGTGAACATCTTCTGGTATCACAAACTACTGATCTGTAGATAACTGGCACCAAGTCAGGGAGCCTCCTCCTTCCCACGCTGCCTGAGCAGCGCATTATTCCAAGCTGGAATAACTTCCTGCCAGGAAAGGGCATCGGATCAGGGCATTGCTCAGCAGGAGTGTGGGGTCACAAGTGCTCGGGGTGACAGAGAAAGGCACCAGATCCTGCTGGAATGGGCAGCTCAGGGGTCAGGAGCAGGGAGCTCCTGGGGCAGCCTCACCCTTCCGAGAGCATCTTCTTCAGCCGCTCCTTCTCCGTCGTGATCTCCACGTCAGCACTTTGGCTCCGGAACAGTTTGTCCTCTCCTGGCCCGTTGGAGCTGATGATGGGGCTGGGAAGCACCTGGGGGATGAAGAAGGGGGTGGTTATGGCCACGTGGCCACACAAGGGCTCTGCAAACTTATTCCCAGCCTGAGTCTTCTCTTATTCTTACAAGAGCTTTCCACAGGGCGAGTTCTCAGTCCCTGCCCTGCTGGGACAAACCTGGCTCTGCCCTAACTCAGGGAGAGCTGTGTTTGTCTGCACAAGGGGGGGGCAAAGCCCCTCAGGTGTGGCCCAGCAGCCCCAGCCACAGAGCAGGAATGATTTTGGAAGCTCTGTGGGCACAGGGCTCTCTCTTGGTTGGTGCTGTGCTCTTCCAGCAGCTGCCACATCCTCCCCATCCCTGTCTCCACACCCTGCTGGGGCAGTGATCCCAGTGCAGGGGGGGTCAGAGCTTGCACACACCAGATCCCAGTGCAGGTGGACTCCCAGCTATTCCTCCCTCCTGCCCTGATGTCTGGAATTCTCTGGCCCTCAGCTGAGAAATGCCAGCAGTGCCACAGCCCCTCACCCGAGTCCCACAGCCCTGCCCAGCTCTCAGCTGCTCAAACTGCCCTTTCCAGGGCTTGGCTGAATTCTTAAGAGGCTTTTCTTGCTGTTTCTCAGAGCAGGGGAAAGGCTTAAACTCCCAACACAGACCTGCCAGTTCAGCCCCCAGCCCCTGACTGGGTTGAGTGCCAAGCCCAGCTCCTGCTCCTGGAATTCAGGCCCCACTGGGATGGTGGTTCCCAGGGAGAGAAACTCAGCTCAGGTGACTCTGGCACCCATTTTCCAAAGGTGGGGGAGAAGGAACAACCTCTGCACCAAAGTCTGTCCTTCCCTGTGCTCCCTATTCCTGCACACACCAGGAACTGAGGCACGGAAGGGGCAGAGGTTTCTTATTCTGGTGTTTTGTGCCAACCAAAACTGTCGTGTCTCTTAAATTACCCACAGCAATGTACCCTGTGATGGGGGTGCTAAATGGGATGGGGATTGGCCTAAAAGGTACCAAAGGACAGAAGAAAAGCTGCTATTCTGGGAATTCCCCAGCCCTGGGAAAAAAAAAAAAAAA